TCTGTAAATAAAAAAGGGGTTTACTACTTATAAAATCTACAACAGTTCATATGGCTGAACAAAATATAATAATTTTTTTCATACTTTTCCTCTGTAAATAAAAAGGGTTACTACTTATAAAATCTACAACAGTTCATATGGCTGAACAAAATATAATAATTTTTTTTCATACTTTTCCTCTGTAAATAAAAAAGGGGTTACTACTTATAAAATCTACAACAGTTCATATGGCTGAACAAAATATAATAATTTTTTTTTCATACTTTTCCTCTGTAAATAAAAAAGGGGGTTAAGTATAAAATCTACAACAGTTCATTATAAAAAATATAATAATTTTTTTCATAGTTTTCATCTGTAAATAAAAAGGGTGAACAAAATTCATAAACAAAATAATTTTTTTTTCATACTTTTCCTCTGTAAATAAAAAAAGGCGGTTACTACTTATAAAATCTACAACAGTTCATATGGCTGAACAAAATATAATAATTTTTTTCATACTTTTCCTCTGTAAATAAAAAAAGGCGGTTACTACTTATAAAATCTACAAAAGTTCATATGGCAACAAAATTAATAATTTTTTTCATATTTTCCTCTGTAAATAAAAAACAAAAATATTCATATGGCTGAACAAAATAATTTTTTTTCATACTTTTCCTCTGTAAATAAAAAGGGGTTACTACTTATAAAATCTACAACAGTTCATATGGCTGAACAAAATATAATAATTTTTTTTCATACTTTTCCTCTGTAAATAAAAAGGGGTTACTACTTATAAAATCTACAACAGTTCATATGGCTGAACAAAATATAATAATTTTTTTCATACTTTTCCTCTGTAAATAAAAAGGGGTTACTACTTATAAAATCTACAACAGTTCATATGGCTGAACAAAATATAATAATTTTTTTTCATACTTTTCCTCTGTAAATAAAAAGGGGGTTACTACTTATAAAATCTACAACAGTTCATATGGCTGAACAAAATATAATAATTTTTTTTCATACTTTTCCTCTGTAAATAAAAAGGGGGTTACTACTTATAAAATCTACAACAGTTCATATGGCTGAACAAAATATAATAATTTTTTTTCATACTTTTCCTCTGTAAATAAAAAGGCAACAGTTCATATGTTACTAATAATTTTTTCATTTTTCCTCTGTAAATAAAATCTACAACAGTTCATATGGCTGAACAAAATATAATAATTTTTTTCATACTTTTCCTCTGTAAATAAAAAGTTCATATGGTTATAATAATTTTTTCTACTTATAAAAAAGGCAGTTACTACAAAAGTTCATATGGCTGAACAAAATATAATAATTTTTTTCATACTTTTCCTCTGTAAATAAAAAAGGGGGTTACTACATATAAAATCTACAACAGTTCATATGGCTGAACAAAATATAATAATTTTTTTCATACTTTTCCTCTGTAAATAAAAAAGGGGTTACTACTTATAAAATCTACAACAGTTCATATGGCTGAACAAAATATAATAATTTTTTTTTCATACTTTTCCTCTGTAAATAAAAAAGGCGGTTACTACTTATAAAATCTACAACAGTTCATATGGCTGAACAAAATATAATAATTTTTTTCATACTTTTCCTCTGTAAATAAAAAAGGGGTTACTACTTATAAAATCTACAACAGTTCATATGGCTGAACAAAATATAATAATTTTTTTCATACTTTTCCTCTGTAAATAAAAAGGCGGTTACTACTTATAAAATCTACAAAAGTTCATATGGCTGAACAAAATATAATAATTTTTTTCATACTTTTCCTCTGTAAATAAAAAAATATGTTTACTACTTATAAAATCTACAACAGTTCATATGGCTGAACAAAATATAATAATTTTTTTTTCATACTTTTTTTAAATAAAAAAGCACTACTTATAAAATCTACAACAGTTCATATGGTGAACAAAAATATAAAATTTTTTTCATACTTTTCCTCTGTAAATAAAAAGCGGTTACTACTTATAAAATCTACAACAGTTCATATGGCTGAACAAAATATAATAATTTTTTTTCATACTTTTCCTCTGTAAATAAAAAGGGGTTACTACTTATAAAATCTACAACAGTTCATATGGCTGAACAAAATATAATAATTTTTTTCATACTTTTCCTCTGTAAATAAAAAGCGGTTACTACTTATAAAAATCTACAACAGTTCATATGGCTGAACAAAATATAATAATTTTTTTTCATACTTTTCCTCTGTAAATAAAAAGGGGGTTACTACTTATAAAATCTACAACAGTTCATATGGCTGAACAAAATATAATAATTTTTTTTTTTTCCTCTGTAAATTTTCCTTTGTAAATAAAAAGGGGGTTACTAATTTTTTTCATAAAATCTAAATAAAAAAAGCAGTTCATATGGCTGAACAAAATGGCTGAACATAATAATTTTTTTCATACTTTTCCTCTGTAAATAAAAAGGGGTTACTACTTATAAAATCTACAACAGTTCATATGGCTGAACAAAATATAATAATTTTTTTTTTCAAATAAAAAAGGGGTTACTTTTAAAATCTACTTCTGTAAAAAAATAATAATTTTTTTCATACTTTTTCCTCTGTAAATAAAATCTAAAATCAAACAGTTCATATGGCTGAACAAAATATAATAATTTTTTTTTTCATACTTTTCCTCTGTAAATAAAAAGGCGGTTACTACTTATAAAATCTACAACAGTTCATATGGCTGAACAAAATATAATAATTTTTTTCATTCTTTTCCTCTGTAAATAAAAAGGCATACTTTACTACTTATAAAAATCTACAACAGTTCATATGGCTGAACAAAATATAATTTTTTTTTCATACTTTTCCTCTGTAAATAAAAAGGCGTTACTACTTATAAAATCTACAACAGTTCATATGGCTGAACAAAATATAATAATTTTTTTCATACTTTTCCTCTGTAAATAAAAAAGGGGTTTACTACTTATAAAATCTACAACAGTTCATATGGCTGAACAAAATATAATAATTTTTTTTCATACTTTTCCTCTGTAAATAAAAAAAAGGGTTACTACTTATAAAATCTACAACAGTTCATATGGCTGAACAAAATATAATAATTTTTTTTCATACTTTTCCTCTGTAAATAAAAAGGGGTTACTACTTATAAAATCTACAACAGTTCATATGGCTGAACAAAAAAATAATAATTTTTTCATACTTTTCCTCTGTAAATAAAAGGGGTTACTACATATAAAATCTACAACAGTTCATATGGCTGAACAAAATATAATAATTTTTTTTCATACTTTTCCTCTGTAAATAAAAAAAGGGGTTACTACTTATAAAATCTACAACAGTTCATATGGCTGAACAAAATATAATAATAATGATGTCAAAAAAGAAGAAAATGAAAACTGCATAATAAAATGATAAAGTGAATCATAGGATTAGTACTTTTCGCATCTGTTGTTTTAAAAGAACAGTATTCCAATAGGTAGCTAGCTAGCTAGATGTTTGTTGGGTAATTCTGACACAAGGCCATGTTCACGGAGGACCACTACCCTAAAATGAATTCACTATAAATTGCTTAAGAAGAATTATTTCTCCAACCTCTGCAGACGGTAAATACATGTTAGATTGTAGTGCCACGCCTACATTTTCTCCAATTCTAATTGGTCAATAAATACATACTAAAAATAACAGGACAATTTATCTATCGCATTCCACCATAATAAATTTGTTCTTACACTTTGTTCAAAAACAAGCTTTGCTACAAAATCGCTGATTGGTCCATTTTTCGTCCAATCGGATATTTTTCATGTATATTCAAAAATATATTCCAGCGTCTCTGCTGTGAGCCACCCTAGGTAGTATAAATATTGGATGCATTCCAAAAAACCAGTAGTAGTAATTCCAGAACCACAGTCGAGTGTACCCAGAGACAATAGATCTCATCTACTCGCTCGTGTATTTCATCCTACTCACTCCGCACGTACATACACAGTACAGAACTTTATTTGATACACCACCAGTTCTCAGTGGACACACCAAGTTAAATCAACTCTGTAAGTTGCAACTACTGAACAATTTTCTGAAAGAAATATTCTATTTTCAACACTGAACTCTGAACATTTTACTCAGACAAATCTTCTTTAAGACATTTCCTTACAGTCAAGAGGAAGCTACTTTTTTCTCCCTTTTTCACTCATATTACAACTACTTTGTATTATTGTTGAATTTAATATACATATATTTCTTCGTTAAACAAAATTGGTTCTCATTGTTTTTTCCTTGATGTTTTAAATATTATGTATGAATGTTTATTACCTTCTCAACACGCAGCCACATTATCTATTTAACCCATTCAACATTGGTGACCACAACAATCAAGAAGTAATACATTCTACAATTGGTCAACCCGACGTTCTAATCAACATTCTACAATTGGTAACCCCGACGGAAACAAACTACAGTTTGTAACACCTACGTTCAAGGAATATAACAGACTAAAGTGAAGTGAACCTTATCTTGTGCCAAACACAGTATAAAGAAATCAACGTACAAAAACTTCAACTTGGCGCGAAAATTTTTGTCCACCACGTGCGCGTAAAACATATATCTAACATGGCCGACCAGAACGCCAGTGAAGCAACCGTGATGCTCAACTTGCCAGTCTTTGACACAACCAACGTCAATGTGTGGGTTCGCACAGTTAGAGGCTATATTTCAGGCGAAGAAGATACAATCCCAGATGGTACGTTATGCCTATGTAGTGGAAAAACTGCCACCTGAAATTGCGTCCGATGTGTTGGATTTATTAAATAACGTCCCTATACATAACTCTTTCGACACACTGAAAGAGGCAATTATTTACAGGACGGGGAAGTCTCAGGAACGTAAACTGAATGACTTATTCAATACGTTGCAGTTAGGAGATAGTAAGCCGACACAATTACTGCGGAAAATGAAGAATTTGCTCGGAAAAAACTCGATGTCCGACTCTTTATTTCGCAAAAAGTGGATGGACAAGATACCAACCCGCACAACTCAAATCCTAGCTACACTACCCGAAGACCTAGATTTAGAAAAAACGGCGGAGATAGCGGACAAGATAAGTGATGCTGCAACTATCAGCAGTGTCAACGCTCCAATGCTATGCGACACGCCACATGAGGACGTATTCAACAAGCTGCAACAGCAAATTAATAGGCTATCTGCACAGATAGACCGTCTGTATACAGAGCGATCATCCTCAGCTCACAACTCATACAAATCCCAACGACGTTCCCGATCTAATTCTCGGGGAAGAAACGATGCGTATTGCCGGTACCATCGCAAATTTGGACAGGCAGCGAGAAAATGCACCAAACCGTGCAGTTTCAAACAACGATCGGATTCTACAATTCTACATCATGCCAGAAAGCGGGAAACGCCATTCCCAACAGCGCATGAAGACGGCGTCTGCTGTTGGGGTAGGGAATGCCAACCGTCTATTCTACGTCAGAGACAGAAACTCCGACAAAATGTTTCTTGTGGACACAGGTGCACAAATTAGTGTTATTCCACCTAGTCCCAGTTTTTCAATTACTAAATCTTCAGTAACCCTACGTGCTGCTAATGGATCACAAATCCAGACTTTCGGTCAAGTATCAATGACTTTGGACATAGGCCCGAGGAGAACATTCCAATGGTTATTTACAGTAGCCGAAGTCAAGTTCACAATTTTAGGCGCAGATTTTTTGGCTCACTATAAACTTATCGTGGATATGTCGAAACGCTCACTGTTAGACCAGACGACGAATCTTATGAATTATGGAGTTACTTCCACCCTCACCTCCACTAAACTATGCGTCGCCTTACCAGCAGACAACCCTCTCAAAGGTGTATTGGACAAATTTCCTTCACTTGTCCGCCCTTTCACATATACCGTAACAGTGAAGCACCACACCGTACACAAAATTCAAACATTTGGCTCGCCAGTCTTTCCCAAGCCGCGCAGGTTAAGTCCTGAGAAGTATAAACAAGCGCGCGCGGAATTTCAACACATGTTAGACTTAGGAATTATCCGGCCTACGTCTAGCTCTTTCGCATCTCCACTCCACATGGCCCCTAAGGCGCAAGAGGGGGCATGGAGACCCTGCGGCGATTATCGACGTTTAAACACACAAACAGTGCCTGACAAGTATCCTGTACCTAATTTGGCAGATTTTGCAATTTCTCTGCAAGGTGCAAAACTATTTACAAAAATCGATCTGAGAAAAGCATTTTATCAGATTCCTGTTGCCGAGTAAGATGTTCACAAGACTGCTATAACGACACCATTTGGTCTTTACGAATTCTTACGAATGCCTTTCGATCTCCGAAACGCTGCACAATCATTCCAGAGGTAAATCGATGAAGCCCTTCGAGGTTTACACCATTCATTCGCCTACATCGATAATCTACTAATAGCGAGTGCCAGCATGGACGATCACGTGCGTCACGTAACACAAGTTTTCGAACGTTTAGAGCATTTTGGATTGAAAATAAATCCCGACAAGTGTTTATTTGCCGTTTCAAAACTTAATTTCCTCGGACATGTTATTGACGAGTCAGGAATCACGCCGATCCCTGCAAAGGTTACTGCAGTGAAAGAATTCCCACAACCAACAATCCTCCGCCAACTCCGTCGATATCTTGGACTGATAAATTATTACCGCCAGTTCATCCCGAACTGTTCGCAAATATTAGCACCACTAACCAACCTACTCCGTGGTCAAGGGAAGAAGAACATCCCCATAACGCTCACAGACGAAGCCCTCGTTGCTTTTAACAGTTCTCGCGAAGCTCTAGCAAACTTTACAAAGTTAACATATTTGCGCGATGACAACAAAGCAACTTTGTCGTTAACTACAGATGTGTCATCAGAAGCTATTGGAGCGGTTTTGCATCAGCATACCGATAAGCAAACCACGCCAATTTCTTTCTTTATCTGTCAAGCTTACTTCGACACAGAAGAAGTATAGCACCTTCTCCCATGAACTATTAGCTATATATCTCTCTATTAGACACTTTCGACACATCCTTGAAGGACGAAACTTCACAGTTTTCACTGACCACAACCCCCTAGTTTTCGCCCTCCATACTAAATCAGACAAATACAATCCACATGATTATAGGCAACTAGATTTCATATCGCAATTCACCACTGACATACGGCATGTTGCAGGCAGTGACAACATTGTTGCCGACACGCTATCACGAGCTACATTAAATAGTACCATTGAAGACAAGCTGGACATGGAAAAATTAGCAGACGAACAAGTAAGGGACATCACTCTGTTCAACTCGTTACAAGACTCGTCGCTAAAAATAGAACAGAAACCGTTACCCTTCAGTGAAAAGTCTATCACTTGTGACACAAGTACTTCCACTCCCAGACCCTTGGTACCTGTCAGCATGAGGAGGAAAATATTCAACCATTTTCACTCAATTTCACATCCTGGTCGCAAAGCCACATCGAAAATGATTTCTGAACGCTTTGTATGGCCCAACATGAACAGCGATATTAAAAGCTGGACTCAGTGCTGTGTAATATGTCAACATACTAAAACCCATCGTCATACCAAGTCACCACCTGGTAATTTCCCTACGCCAGACGGACGATTTTGTCACCTACACGTCGACTTGGTGGGTCCGTTGCCGGAAGTCCACGGACACCAGTATATTTTAACCATAATCAACATAAAAATGGAACATGAAAACAACACAAAAAATATATAAAAAGCGTATTTCGAAAGCAATACTTTTTATGGCTTATAAAATATATGAAAATATATCTTTGAGTCTACGCTCGGTCAGTGTTTCAGATGTTTTGGAAAGAATGGCGTCTTCCATTCATTGCGTCACATCTCATACTCCTATTGATGGTCGTATTGAAGGGATTTCTATAGTCAAAGGTCGGCTCCGATTTACCCGAAAGATTTTGGCGGTCAACACAAGGATTTCAGATTTAAAGTGGTTCGAGTAGCCATTGGTTAAAAAAAAAATCACGTTTATCAAAATAATTTATTGTAGTAGAAAAACACTTCTGTTTTCTTTCCCTTTCTTTCACCTTCAATTGACCTTCCCTCCGCTCCTTGGCCAAGAAGCTTTGCACCGAGTAAAAAAAAAAAAAAATTAACAAATAGGGAAATTGTTTTATTGTCCAGTTGTATTAGCAAAAAAAAAATAACCTTTAAAATTATATTACTCTACTAAACAAGTTAAAGGTGAAACCTTACAATGAAGTCTAAACTCTAAATCATTCTTCAAATAACTGGGCTATTTTTGCGCTAAGTATAAAACAGAGAGAGAGAGAGTGACAGAGACAGGGAGGGAGGGGGAGAACATTTAAAGCATCATTAAAAATTGGTACTTTTGAAATTCCATTAAAAATTATCTACTTCAATACGTTTCAAAAGATGGTGTAGGGAGGGGGCAGAAAATATGTGGTTAATGCTCTCTCTGGGGATAAAGCTGGCACAAGGCCACCCCCAGATGTACTTTCCAAATAAGGCCTCTTTCCCTATTATTTATTTTACGAATAATCAAAAACTCTTGACGTTAGACAAGAAAAGAGAAATAATGATTCACAAACATATTGTTTCAAACGTAACAATTGAAATTATTAGTGTTTGGAATATACATGCATGAATACTGAGTGAAAAGGCTAGACAGAGTTGTGTCTCTTTGATTAGGTAATAGTTGTACCTGAGTTCATATTAAAAGGAAGTAATTATTAAACTGTAATATTGAATGTATAAACAAGTTAGGTAGAGTTCAGAGATAATACTTGCATGAATTAAGTATTGTTCATTTATGTGCTCGGTAAAAATGGCAGCGGTAAAAATGGCAACGGAAAAAATGGCAACGGTAAAAATGGCAAAAGTGGATAAATAGGAAAAAATGGCAATTCGACAACAGAAAATTATGACCGTTCGAGAAGGATGGGTCTAAGCTCCCATCCCTCTAGTTTAAAATAGGGCTAAGTCCCCCACTCAATATTTTAAAATAAATATTTTTAAATAGATATTTACTCTAGTGTGTGTGTGTGGGGGGGGGGAGCTAGGCTCCTTCTCCTCTTGTTTTAAATAGGGGCTAAGTTCCCGCTCCTAGTATTAAAAACATTTTTTTAAAAATTTCGATGTCGATTTTTAGAAGTTTTATTGGGGGTGGGGCGCTAGGTTCCTACTCCTAATTGCAGTAAAAGCACAAATCGTAGCGTGTTTAAGTGAATTTGATGACTATAATTAATTTTATAATTGATAGCTGACATTAGGATTAGATGTATATATATATATATAATAAGTGTATTAGTGTTTTTATATATATATATATATATATATATATATATATATATATATATATATATATATATATAAATAAGTGTATACATACATATATATATATATATATGTACATTCATATGCATATATATATATATATATATATATATATATATATATATATATATATATATATATATATATTAGTGTTGGGACGATTAATCGGAATCAGGAATCGGAAAAATCGCAAAGACGAAGGTTAGGAATCCCATTTACAGATTTTGTATTGACTCTCGGAGTCTAATTTAATTATTTTATTGGTAAATTATGGTAAACGAAGTAAATATTCTAGAGTTCACTTAGCCTATTCCTCAGCAAACCTTTTGTAAATCTGTTCACACCTATTTGCTAAATGTCTATATGACGCCTCTCAGAGACTTCACACTGGAGTATTAAAAGATTGAAAACGCATCAGACAAGATTTTAAATTTTACTGGCACCAGTCTGACCCTATCGTTGTCTGATAGCCTCTGAAATAATTAATGTTTTATTGGTTTTTTATTTCGGTTTCATCAAGTGGATCTATAATTGTTTTTTCCCAAAGTTTTTCAGTGTGTTTAGACATAATCGCCTAAAAAGTAAAATCTCATGGGAGTGGGGAGCTTTAGCTGAATATTCTTTTTAATTTGACAAACTTCTCATTTTTTTTCCATTATGTATTGTAGCCAAGATTTTAATAAACTCATTGTGAGATATTCATCTATATGTTTTCCTTTTGCCATTTTTTTTTTATTTATCCACTTTTGCCATTTTTTCCGTTGCCATTTTTACCTAAATTCGTTCATTTAACGTCTGACTGGATCAGTCGAGACGGAGTTCCTTTAAAAGGTTCACATTTTGGCGGCGTGTTGAGATGTACGAGTGACGTAGATAAGTTAGGCTCGAGTCAGGAAGAGCAGGAACAGAAGAGAAAGAATATCACACGTGTTGGGTTTATATAATGGTCGTATATCATGTAGGAGGATCAGAACTTGGCGCCTAAATTGATTCTGCATGTAAGAGCGATCTGATTGGTTGAAACTGACCAATCAGCAAGTTGGATGTACTGTGATTGACCAATGGTTTCTCGTTGATATTTTGTATGAAAGTAGGATGTTACTTACCAGATAAGAAGAGTGCATTTCCTAAAAAGAGGAAAGGCTGATTTGTTGTGGAAGATTCCACAATGGCATGAATATGGATGTGAGAAGCAAGAGCAGTATATGTTTTAAAAGGCTCCGCTTGATGAAAAAGCCTTTTATCCTACAATATAAAGTTTTCTTGTACTATTTATACTGCATCGAGAAGCCCTAATTATAATTCTTTACTTCTAATTTAAATGTAATGACTTGCAATTATTAACAGAAAGAAAAAGTGAAAAAAAAAGATTTTTAGTTGCTTGTTTATACTTGAGATAAATGTTAAAGAGCAAGATAAAGTCAAATTATTTCTTAAAATCTGTGTACGAAAGGATATTGAAAAGTACTCAGTCCGAATAAGATAGGCTTTTAAAAAAATTCTGACATTTTCTTAATATTTAAGGAAGTAGATCGGACCGAGAACTTTTCAGGAGCCCGTATTAAGAATAAATAAGTTTACGTCCGTTCATTTTTCGTTCAAGGCATTTCTCCCTCTCTCCCCCACCTCACTCTCTCTCTCTCTCTCTCTCTTATTCATATTTTGTTGCGTTTTTAGAAACTAG